AGGTAGAAGAATAGAAAAAAAGGAAAAAAGTATAGAAACTCGAGTTAATAGCTCCAACTCATCGATCGAGTATATTCCCAACGAAGCATTTTATACTCGAATATATATATATATGTATCGAAAAGAAATACATAAAAGTCCAGTGTGCTTATTCGTGTATTTTGAATCACTTCTCGCTCGAAAGCCCGAGAAGGATGACACCACAAAGTCGATTTTCAGAGCTCTTTTTTATTTCTCGCGTTGAAAATATCGTGGAAAAAGTTTATTAGACCAATAGATACGGATGATAAAAAAATTTCCTGCCGATTTATCGAATTCAACGAGGAAAAATAGAAAAAGATAGAAAAAAGAATTAAAAAAAATACTCGTCTCCTTGATGTTATATAAAACGATCGAATGTACCCTCGCAATTGGCACGTCTAACTGACTTTACTTACTTACAGTGCTGTATTATGATCGTATCAAAACACACGCAAGAAAAAAAAGAAATACTCCAAGATCTTTCAAGATCAAACGTGAGATAACTAAATCGAACTCCTTTAACTTCAACTCTTGGTACTTCGATTTCGATAGAACTCGAAGAGAAAGAGAGAGAGAGAGAGAGAGAGAGAGAGAGAAAGAGAGAGGTAAAGCAAACATAAGAGGAGCATTTGAAATCCTTCGAAAAATATTCTATGGTAAAAAGATAAACATAGTAAATCGACTATTCAAATCGAATAAGAGTTATCTTACACCGAAAATATATAATATTAGAAAGAATTTAAAATTCAAAGTGTTATAATATAACCTAAGCTTAGATTCAAAAGATTTCAAAAAAAGATTATCAAATTATTCAGTGGTAGAAACTTCTAATATAATAAATAAAAATTTTGCTCGTTAAATCTTTAGAATGTAAAAATGATTGAAAACGCAAGGAGTAAGGCTTTTACTCAACGTTAGTTAATTATCTCTCTCTTTCTTTCTCTATTTCTCTTTCTCTCTCTATTTCTCTTTCTCTCTCTCTCTCTCTCTCTCTCTCTCTCTCTCTCTCTCTCTTTACCATTATCTCTCTTACATGAACACTCATAATCGTGATAATGAGATAGATTAGAATTTCATCAAAGAACATCACTTCGATGCGCTTCATTAAATGCTCTCCCTTTGTATTAGCGACGTCGGAGACGCGATTTAACACACGTACGTTTGTGTATCCCATATGTGTACACTTATACGGGTTTCTTGTTCATGTCCCTTGTCTTACTACATGGAATTAAATTTACGAGACGGAAATGCACCGCTAAAAACACATTTTCTAAGAGAATCCTTTCCCTTAGATATAGTCAAATCCATCACGATTAAAATGTATTACACAATGCGTTCTTCACTTTGTGATTTAAAAGGCTCATAAATAAGGAAATATACATGATGACGTTGGAAAACAAGTCCTTGAGCGAATCAACAAGACGAAGTAATGAGGTTTTTCAAACAGAGTCAATTTCCTTTTTATTACGCTCGCCTTCCTAGTGGTCTGAGACTTCTTTTTTTTTTCTTTTTCTCCTTATATTTTTTCTTTTTTTTTAATTCTTATTCTAACCAAAGTATAAAGTAGAGAAAAAATAGAGACGATGATAAGAAGTACGTCATAAGGAAAGACTGGGATGCATAAAGGAAAAAAAGATAACTAAATTAAAGTAGAGAATGTAGCGCTCGGAAGATACTTTCTTTAAAAAAAAAAAAAAAAAAAGAGAACTCTTAATTTTCACATTTGACCGAAATTATCCTGGAGAATACGTTTATTTTTTTTATTCCTTCCTTCATATTGTTGATAAGCTCGTAAATGCGGTACCACGTAAAATTTATTATTCGTGTTTCTTTATTTATGGAAACCAGAACAATTTTCTCTATTTTCGTTTGATATTCGTTAATTACTTTATAAGAAATATCCTAAAACATATTTTAATTCTACTTCTTTTCATATCGTAAATGAAAACTTTGAAACAAATACGTATAAAGTAAGTTGAAAAGGTTTATTAGATTTAATCTAAATATTTTCATGTACTCAACTGTACGAAGATTAATCCATCCGTAAAATATTTTTATTACTATTTGTTATACTCAAAATAATATATTACTTCAGTTATTTTCGTTTATAATATAATTATAATTAAACTATAAGTATATATGCTCTAGATATATTAAAATAAATAATAGAAAATGTATCTTGTTTTCCCCAGTTTAATTGTGAGCTATAATTAATGCACGTATAGTTACAATATCTCCGCTACATTTTACAATATAAATAAATTTTTATATGGACAATATAAATAAAGTAATAAAACCTAATTACACACACATTATCTTCAAATGACTGGATGGAAAGCTAAACTAATCTAAGATATAAAATTTTATTATATAATATCTCCAGACAGATTGAAAAATCTTTGCACGAAATATGTTAAAATTGCTCCAACTGACTTGTGCCAATAATTATAACAGTGGACTAAATTAAAAAATGAAAAAAAAACTGATTATATAATGATTTATTTTATAATATTAATAATTGTGAAATATATTACTTTTCTAATATATAACGTTTTTATTATCTTATAATATTTTAATTATAATTTTTCTAATATATATTTGTGCTGTGTGTGTGTGTGTGTGTGTGATTTATTTGGTGTAATGTAAATAATTGTAATATAAAACCAATCGTAAAATAAAGTTTTAAAATTCATTTACCATGGCTATTGTCACAATTATCGGCACGTGTGTGTCCGGCAACATTAGGACAAGACGAAACATTAAGAAAACATTAAGACAAGTCGTAAGAAAAAAGAAAAGAAAAAAAATATAGTAATACAAAAAAGAAAGTTCATTTTCCTAGAACGTTCCCGACAAACTAGTCCAATTATTTTGCACGTTTCGTCGCGGACGAAATTACCATTGGGTACTTTAACCCTCCCCCTCCAAGGTTCTTTGCATCTTCCAACGGCGTTGAGTTCGTCGAGGTTTGCCGAGAATGCGAGTCAAGCGTTAATTTACTTTTTCCATCCTTTCTCCGGGAGTTACTACTTCGATCTCGCTTCTTTTTCGCCTTCGTCTTCGACCCTTTTTTCCTTACCGACGACCCCTTCTTGAAAATTTAATCGCGGAGAACTGTGACGTTGCCCTTAATACGATTCTTTACCACTCCTTCGGTTCTTTTTCAACCTTCCTTCAATGAAACTTTTTATCGATTCGCTTAAAGTTTCGTAAAATTTGCACCAATGCTTCTCTTTCACAAAAGTATTAGTGAAATAGAGAAGAAAAAATAGGACATATTAAAATAATACGTATAACGCTTTAATGTAATGGAGTATTATAATAATGGGAATGGAAAGAAGCTTTTCATAATTTATCTCGATTCATGACGAACGTTGTTGCACTACTATATGAGTAAACATATAGTATGCAATGAGATTTTGCAATGAAATTATGCAATTTAAAAAATAAAAATAACGGAAATCTAAAATTTATCGATTTAAGATTTGATTATAGATTTTATATTTAAATTGCAATTTTTAAAGTATTAAATATTCTTTAACTTTAAATAATTTCTTTAATATGAATTTGATGCTAATAACGTTTTGACGTTAAATAGCAGATCAAATTTGACAAGATACGATCAGAAGCATAGAGTCCTTTAATGTTACCTGTATTTTGCATTGATTTTGTTAATATAAGATATCTTATCGTCTCACGTCGAAATTATTCTAGAATTCTGTTCTTCCATTCTCTTTCTCTTTCTCTCTTTCTCTTTTCTCCTTTTAGGTTTAAAGGAAAGGTTTAAAGAGAGAACGATAAGAGGATATCCTCTCGATGTTACAGCATGGTAGATACGATTTTATCAAAATGGCCCGAGGACATACTGGGGGGCTTATTCCCAAGAGATTTTCGTAAAATGCATTGTCTATATATACTTCATACCCATCGTCGGGATGTTAAGATACTAACCGTTTTACGATTCTCTCTGTACCTTTGGGATATGGTACGCTTTTAAAGTTATTTGCGAGCGAATGATATATCGTTTAGTACTAGTTATTTCTTTCTCTCTAACTCTTTCTCTTTCTCTCTCTCACTCTCTTGCCTCTTTCTCCAACTGATAAATTGCAGTAGAATAGTTATAAAACACTGTATGCATTATTTTAACGAGTCTAATTTTTTGTACTCTACGAACGTACGTGAACATACGTACACACACATACAAAACGTGAAATCCGTTAATACAAGAAAAAACGAGCTATTACATGAAATAATTATACTGGTTTTGTTTAAATATGAGATTGATATTTGCTTCTAAATTTGTATACTTATCCTGTTATGTACTTGTACTGTTATAAATCTGGAGACAAAAAATGTGTGTTCTTTCATATGAAAATCTTCCAAAAAGAAATTATCTGTTCTCCAAACAAAGTATTCTATATTAATTTAAGGGATTAAACTAGGTTTTCAAAAATAGAAAATACTTAGAAGTAGAAAAATGACAAAATAAGATGTCTTCAAAATCTCTGAAAAGATAAATCAAATATCAATTTCATACTTTAAATACTCATCACTCGTAATAGTACAACTAATTAAAGTGTATAGTAAAATTTTGTTTATATGCATTTTTAAAAACGTCTAATCACTTCATGATTTAAATATATTGTACACTCTCTTACGGTTTTATATTACATATAGAATACATATGTACGCAGAATTCTGTTTTTATACGATAAATACGTTCTCGAAGAATACATGTATAAAAAAAAATCGTGTAAAAAGATATATTGCATCTATTGAAAAATACTCTTAAGACGAAGTGCTTGGTAAAGTAAAATTTTCTTCTTAAAATTTGGGTCGATCGTGTTATATTAAAATCGTGTAAGAACAGAATTGTGTGTATAGTAGTAATATATATATAAAGATAGAAAATTCGTTGTTATTATCATTGTAATTCATTCTAAATTGAACCATGTTTGTTTTCTCTCTCTCTTTGTCAGCAGAATCAAGTGCAAGCGTTGTTACGAACCAACAAGTTTGGTACTCCACAGCGATGACTTCGATTGCCTTGGCTACAGTGATACTGGCGATGACCGAAGCCTTGACGAGCGGACGACTTACGAGTGCTGTACTTGGTACAAGGTAGCTTGTCCACGACATTAACGAGAACATCATTGCCACTGTCTGACCCGAATACATCGTCCATGTAAAACCTAGTAGTCTAGGGCTTCCAGTTATGTATGTTACTATGTATTGAAGTAGATAGTCGAATAACGATGATTTTTATTGTAAACGAATGAAACAAAATAAGGTGACAAGAACGATTAACAAAGACACAAAAGAAAAAAATAATAACAACAAAAGAAAATTGAAACGAAAATAGCCTGACGAAACGACGATGAAATATATGATTGTAAGAAAAAAAAAAAAACAAACAAAGAAAAAAAATAAAAAAAAATAACAAGACGGTGGGACGCGTCACGTTTATTAAAAAAATAAAATAAAAAGGACAAAAAAAAATAACGACCCCATTGTAAAATCTACGACGACCTATTATAAGTACATAACGCAGTTACTTTTGAACATGTTATCTTTTTGATGTAAATTGTTAATTAAGTGGAGGCAATGCAAGGTGAACGACGAAAGATCGAATCTTTCGTTCGTTCTTTAAAAGTAAAAGAAGTAAAAATACATATAAATATGAAGAAAAAAGTGTGTCCTATTAGAAGAGGGAGAAATTATGTACGCGGGGGGAATACTAACCTAAGAGTTCTAGCAAGAGAGGAAAATGTTGGACAATCAGGAGCAATTTTCCTATTTCCTCTCTGTTATAAATCGAAAATTTGTCTAACTACTGCCACCATTCCCGCGAAATACAAGTTCTCTCTTCGGATTTTCTCTTCTTCGTTATAAGGATACGCGCCAATGTTAAGCGACAATGAATAAAAAGAAATGAAAATAATATAACATAAATATAAAAATAAAAATAAAGATAAAAGTAAAAATAAAACAGAGAATAAGGGTAGATTATAAAATTCAAGATAATCTTCGTAATGATCGGTATATTATTATAAACGTTAGCCCAGCTACGACGAGCGGCGACGACGTTTTGCTCGATATCCGCTCCTTTTAAGACGCCTAACAATGAATGCGAAGAAAGAAACGATAGGTACTGGTTTGTAATCTGTACAAATTGTAATAAATTACAGTACGAACAATACTGGTCTTGATGTACTTTTTTTTCTTTCTTTATTTCTTTCTTTCTTTCTTTCTTACTTGCTTGCATTCCGTTTTTAAATCCTTCCACTTGTTTCCTTCTTTTATCTTCGAAAGAAGAATGATAAAAAGAATACTACGCTTTAAACGATTACTGTAGCTGCTATCGATAAAATGTTCTTTCTTTAATAATCAAAAATTACAAACAATAAGTACAATACTCGTTTTAAACGTTTTCCATTTCAATAAGAATCGAAGTATTTTATAGAAATAAGAGATAATGCTTTAAAGCTTTTATCAAACCACAAAAAATGAGTTAAATTTTCTTTTTACATTTATAATACATAGTAAATCGTTTGTAAAATGATCAATTAGAAATAATATAGGCGTTTAAAAATTGGTATATTATAATATTTAATTAAATAATAATTAAAAAGTGTATATTATAATATATATTTCATGAAATATGTTTTTTAACAATCATTCACATTCACAAAGTCATATCTTTGAATGTTTACTTTAATAATACAAGTACTATACATTTGTATAATCTTTTTTATCTATTGTTACACTCATTTACACTATATAATACTACTATTTTGTTTATTTTACAATTGATTAATTAATATTGAAAGCTTAACGTGTCATCTTCTTTTTTTAATTAAGAATTTCCAATGTTTACACTAATCCAATTTCTGACATAATTTCATTATCATATCAATAAATATATTTATAATATCCATGAATAACAATATACATTTATAACGATGAATAATATATCCATTCTTCATAAATATTAAAAATAATCTACAAGTTGACGTAACAATTAACAAAATAATTAATGAATTTCATCGTAATACGTTTTATCTAAAGTGATTTCAGACGTTAAAATAAGTGAAAAGGTTATTAAATTATACGATTCAAGTTCAGTACCACTTGTATAACTACTTACGTTCACTAAAAAGAAACGAAACGTTTTTCGGTCTCTCTATTGCGGAATGAATAAAAAGGAAAAGTAGGCTATAAACGAAGATGACCGTGGTGATGATGACATTTGGTAGTAGGACTATTGCCTGAAATGGTGGTAGTGGTGATAGTAGTATTAGTGGTGGTGTTAGTACCGACCGGTGAATTGAATAAAGTGGCGGAAAGGAAAATGAGAACGTAACATTGGACCACCACCGTGGAATTGACGTTAATCAAGAACACGCAGACGACCGTAAAGGAGAACACGTAGCACTTCGGTCCATCTGGCTTCTCGACGAAATTAAAACCCCTTGTAACGCCGGGCACGGTAAGTTCAGGAGGCCCGTACACGTATCCGTCGTATAGTGCACGTGCCTCTGTCGAAACAGAAAAAAAACGAAAAATAGAGAGAGAGAGAGAGAGCAAAATAGAGAGATGAACTTTTTTTTTGTTTATAGGGAATCGTGTTTAATTTCAAAAATAAAAGACCCTCTATATTGGAATATCACAAAAAAAAAGTTCGATTTCGTGGTATCGTTTTCCTTACCAGATGAAATAATCGATCTGAAAACGAACAAAATATAACAGATAGAATAAAATTAAACATTTATTCATGTTGAATTGTTTTTCAACGGTGATATTCGTGATATCGACTTTTATGTTTTTTTTATCAGGGTTGATCTTTTTTTTATTCTCTCGAAATACTTTTATATAATCAAGGAACAAAATATTTTCGATACACGAGGGCAAGGTATCTTTTTTAATTGGTTAATCTTGACACGTTACTACACCGTTTCGTAAATGACAATGAAAATACAAAGCATGCATAAGAGACAAGCTAGTTCTATCTTAATTAACGAGATTTGGTTTTTTCCTGGGTAATTTGACTTGCTAAAAGGGAGAGGAAAAAAATAAAATTTAAAGAAAAATATCTCTTTCATCTTCGTTACTATCACACAAAACACACTCCGAATAAATCAGTAGTATAGAAGTATATACTTGGATATACAACCATAAATTATAATAATAATATTAATAATAATAATTATTATTATTATTATTATTATAATAATAATAATTTGTTAATGATAAAAGCTTAAAATAATTTCTTTATAAAACAAAACTAATAACATCGGTTATAAATAAAAACTTCTCTGGTTTTTCATTTTAAATTCAAAGTGCTATTATAGTCGACTTCATCATTAATGTACATACAAACATTTCTTCGTTCAAGCACAACCAGAGCTTAAACCATAAAACGTTACCAAATAACTGCACTAAACTGGAATGCTGCTCTCTATCTTTTCGTCTCTCTCTCTCTCTCTCTCTCTCTCTCTCTCTCTCTCTCTCTCGGGTGAAACCCACTATGACAAAGGAACGGTAGAATAATTAAACCTTAAGTAAGTAAAACAAAGAAATTCTTACGAGCGACGATTTGCGAGAGGAACGAAATTTAACCGGGTCATTCGGTCACTATTTAATGCTTATAATTTCTTCTTCTTTTTCTTCTTTATATTCTCATTTATCGCAAAGAGCAATTACCTTTTTTTCTATTTAGAACAAAATCATATTTCTATATAATTATAATATATAAAATTTGTTCGTTTTAAAACTTGACATCAGAAATTGATTTTAAGCAATATTGATTTTAGGAAAAAAAAAGAAGAAAAAAATACGTCAATTTAGATATCGAAGGGGAAAATTTAAAACCAATATTGATAAAATTTTAAATTACTAACCTACTCCCACCACCACGTGTCTCTACCTTCTTTAAAATTTTAAATAGCATCGTTTACCTAGTGATACATCATTTTAAAGATAATGCAAATCCTCTTTTAATCACGTTTTTAAAATTGAATTCAATCGATTCGTTTATTACATATCATTAATTACTAAAAGAAACTTCATATTATTTATTTTCTATATCTATTATCTATTCTTCTAGATCGAAATCTCTGTTAGAGAAAGAAAGAAAGAAAGTGTGTGTGAGAGCGAGAGAGAGACAGAAAGTTTATTAAACAAAGCTTTGTGCTCTTTCGATAATTGGCGAATTAATATCTCTCCCGGGATATAAAGGGAGAAATCCTCTCGAATCCCTCGAACTATGGACTTATCGTAAGGCTCGGTTTTGGATATAGTATCCGATAGGAAGTTTACTTCTCTTTCTAACGCCACCATCTTTCTCTCTCTCTCTCTCTCTCTCTCTCTCTCTCTCTGACTAACCCTTTTATTCTTTCTACAACTAAAGCTATCAATTATTCTTACCCTGGCGATCCTGGTCGTGTTTCATCGTTGGCAAAGGGACAGGGACGATGTACGAAACCGCGAATCGCCTGCCTGCAGTGCTACTTTAATCCGACTAGACTCGTTGCAATGTGTCGGCTTAGGCGAGAGAATTGCCAAAGGTCCTACATACCTTCCTTCCTTCCTTCCTTCCTTCCTTCCGCTTTTCTCGTACAAACAAGCCCGAATAATTTCCTCGCTCGTTTCTCTCTCTTCTCCTCCCCCTCCCCCTTCCCCCCTTTCTCTCTTTCTCTCTCTCTCTCTCTCTTTCTGGTTCTCGTTCTCAATGTCTCGAGATGCAAATTTAATGAGTATTAAAGTCCCTACCCTGTATTACCATGTGTACACCGAATCTAAGGAGATAATCTAACGTATTCCCAAAGAATTAATTATAGTAATCCCAAAGCATCCCACTTTCAAATTGTTTCAAGATCTTTCGGGGAATTTTGACTTTGTATTATTTCAATTGTTTACGATATAGGGATTTTCAATAGGAATAGTTAAGTCAATTTTCATGAAGTACTTTTGTTAATTACATTTAAGGTTCGAATTGAAAAATAAAATGGGAAGGACAGTAGAGGCCTGATTTTTCATGATATCATTTGTCCGTTATTTTCCCTTGCGAAAAAACATCAAGCCGCGTAAAAAGACAATTAGTCTAATTAAGGTTTCTGTTTTATCGGTTCGCGGATTATTTCAAACAATATGGATTAAAAATGAAAAATACCGTTACGCAGTGACGACATTGCGTCAGAAAAGTTTTGAATAAATTAAAGAATCGCAAAACAATATTAACGGAACGCGTAATAATTTCTTAGTTAAGTGTAAACGAAGATAAATTGATTTATTAAACTTCAATCTTTTTTGTACAAACTAATATTTACTTGTTGCAGTTTAAACAAGTTAAGAATAAAATTTTATAATAAATAACTAAAAGAATTATTTATTTGTTCTTTTTCCCTTTATTCTTTTCTTCTCTCTCTCTCTCTCTCTCTCTCTCTCTCTCTTTCTCTATCTCGCTTGTCTATTTCATATTTTGAGAAAAAATCTTTCAACGTTTATAAATATTTAACAAAGAGTTTATAACTGTGCAAAACAATTGAAATGAATTTAACCATTTTCTTCTATGATTTTTATTCTCGTGATAAGATCGTTCTCTTAGCAAGAAAAAGCAGTCATCGATGTCCTTCGCTAGAAAGAAGTCCAATAAAAGAAGACCAAGTAGAAAGAAAAATACACCCTGAGATTTTTCCAGTTAATCGAAGTATATTATAGGAGCCTCAATTAAAACTAGATTAATCCGATTTATATAAATACAAAGCATACATAAAAATGTTTCAAAATGATCGAGAAAATTTTATTAACTTGATAATGTTTCACTGAAATTTATTATATTTTACGTATAGTATGATTTTTTGTTTAAAGTACGATAAAAGGAATGAGAGCGAGCAAGAGAGAGAGAGAGAGAGAGAGAGAGAGAGACAGACAGACAGACAGAGAGTAAAAGAATGACATTACATGTACACACATAAAATGATATAAAGA